TGAGATGCGGGAACCTGACGGGGGGCAGTCACACGGGTCGGGGGCAGTAGCTGCTGCTGTTGCTGCCGCTGCTGCTACTGCTGCTGCTGCTGCTGCTGCTGCTGCTGCTGCTGGTGCTGCTGCTGCTGCTGCTGCCGCTGCTGCTGCTGCTGCTCCCGCTGCTGCTGCTGCTGCTTCTGCTGCTGCTGCTGCTGCCGCTGCTGCTGCTGCTGCTGCTGCTGCTGCTGCTGCTGCTGCTGCTGCTGCTGCTGCCCTCGGGGGCCAGTGTGAAGTGTGTAGAGACCAGAGCCCGGCTCAGCAGTAAAGGTGGCAAGAGGCGCGTACGTGTCCCCGTTGACACAAACCGCTGTCTCGCCAGAAGGTTCAATTCGCACACCCACGTGCTGACTCACGAGCGGCCTTACGCCCACGAAGTTCCTCGAGAACGAGGGGACGTGGAAGCCGGTCAGAGAACCGGAGGGAACAGCCGGGCACAGAAACGTAGTAGTGTAGTGAGCAGTGACTGGTCCCGAAGTGGGATCGGCCAGTGCTACAGAGACCAGCGTAGGAAGCGGGGTAAGTGTAGTGCGGTCGCGGAAGACACAGTGCGAAGCTCTGGAGTCCAGAGCGAAAGACAGCGAAGCGTTCTCCGGAGCAGCTCCTGGACTAGTGTCTACACAAGTACTTACACTAGCAACAGGAACCTCAGCAAGACTAGCACCTAAGCTAACAACACTCGAGCAAACAGAGTCAGAAGCACTAGAGTAAACAACAGCATACATAGCATGAGGAGTTCCTAAGAGATCAACCAACTGAGAAGCCGACATGCCCCACAGAGCGGAGTTGTACGTCTGAACAAGGGGAAGCCTGTCAGGGTCAGGGCCGTCAACGCCGTATGCCAACCGAACCATGTCAGTAAGCTGAGCAAAGCACTGACCCGGTGGGTGGCTGCGGCCACAAGGCTGGCCGCGGCGGGCACCTGTCAGAACGTGATAGATGCAGGGAGGGTGGACGACACCGCACTGCAGCTGACGCTGTCCTGACCCTTGCCCCGAAACCTGCTGCTGCTGCTGTGGCTGCTGCGAGAGGAGGGGCTGCTGCTGCTGCTGTCGCTGATTCAGGTGCCACGCAGCTGCTCCACCCCCTGCAGCTGGCAGACCAGTAGGTGGCTGACGAACCCAGGCGTCACCTCCACCAGCTGCAGCTGGGGAGTCACCGGTCGCTGCACGAGGCGCTCCTCCAGCCCCTGCACTCCCGCTCGCCATGTCACCTCCACCGCCTCCGCCGCCTCCGCCCGCACCCTGACCACCCCTCCTGCCACTCCTACCCCGAGACCGCGAAGAAGTCGTAACAGCAACTGCGGTCACGTCAGTAGGGGCAGTGGCGAGGGAGGCAGTAAAGGTGGGCAGCTGAGGGACAGTGCACCTGTGAAACAGTGGAGGGGGCACAGCACCAGAGGCAGAGGCTACCGAGCGGAGGTTGCTCTCGACGTCCTCGAGGGCCGACTCAAGGACCTCGATAGTGAGCTCGCTAGGGTCAAAAGAAGCGCGTCACGAACCAAGGCAAGGCGGTCAGGGAGGCTAGTGGCGATGAATTAGATAGTAATTGCCATGGGGGGAGGGAGCAGTGAAAGCTGTGCATCAGTGGAAGCAGCGCGGTAGCTAGAATCGAGCGAGCGCAGATGAGTGGTCAAGTCAGCAGTGCGCTCAAACGAGGCGAGGTCAGGAAACAAGAACGGAAGGAACAGGAGACCAAGAGAGACAATGGTGGGAGTAGCGTAGCGGGCCTTGATCGCAGTCAAGAACTCACTAGCCGTGCGAACCTGAGTAAAGGGGTCTCCTCAGACTCAGGGAGGAGGCTGCTGAGGGCAATGCAGGTCGCAATGTCACGCAACTTCCACGCGGTCACGTCAGCACGCTCGCGTGCATAACGGTCACTGCCTGCAGGTGTGGGTCAGCTGCTAAGGGTGCAGGGCTAGCGGGCTCAAGAAGGTCACCGGAAGCGTGCGCCCACAGAGGCTCGTGTGTCGGAACCTGGCTCTCTAGGAGGCGGCGCGCACGCAGGAGGCAGACCAAGAACTCGAGTGGCCTTCCCTCTGCGTCAATGCGCAGGACCCTAGGGGTCGCCATAGTGGAACCGTAGAGGTCGATACTGCTGCTGCCAAAACCCTAAACGCATAGAGGGTCCGAGCAGGGCGCGGCAGGTTGAGCGGAAGGCGCGACGCGACGGGGCGGGTAGGACGCGACTCGACGGGACAGCAGGGCGCGACGCGACGGGCTGGGGGCGACTCGACGGGAGGGGGGGGACGAGACGCGACGGGCAGGGGACGAAACGCGACTGGACGCGCAGCGCGACGCGCAGGGGACGGGACGGGCAGCGCGACGTGCAGGGGACGGGACGGTACGGGCAGCGCGACGCGCTGACGGGAGGGGGGGACGGGACGGGCAGCGCGACGCGCAGGGGACGGGACGGACGGGCAGCGCGACACGCTGGGGATGGGACGGGACGGGCAGGGGACGCGACGGGCAGGGGACGGGACGGGCAGGGGATGTGATGCGACGGGCAGGGGACAGAACGAGGGGCAGGTAGGTGCGGGCGACGGGCACTACGAGCGCTACGGGTGCTACGTGACGAAGCGGGCAGGCGCTAAGGGCGCTACAGGCGCTACGGGCGCTTCGCGACGGAACGGGCAAGCGCTAAGGGCGCTACAGGCGCTACGGGCGCTTCGTGACGAAACGGACAAGCGCTTAGGGCGCTACAGGATGGAACGAACGGCCACAAGAGGCGCTACGGGACGAAACAGGCGCAACGGGAATGGTAGACTACGTGCAACGGGCACGAGAGGCTCTAGCGGGATCTCACAGGATCCTAACCTAGGTGATACCATGTCAAGAATGAAAGTATTGGCTTGACTAAGGTTGGTTGGGGTACATAAACATAACCCTAACAGTTGTACCCCCTATAACACACATCACAAAGACTACAACATTTGACATACGGGCCTAGCGCCGAGGCGGGGAATTGTCGAGGCGGGGTTCCGGAGTGCGGGTTACCACCCGAACCGTGAGTTTGGGTCGCGTCGTAAATAGTAGCGGGAACAGTAGTCGATGCGAGTGTCGCGAGTGGTAACGGTGCATTGTTGAGAGTTGTTGGCAGGAAACAGTGGTGTACGCGTTGAGCAGGGACGTGAATTAAGGAAAGGAATTTTCATTACAATGGCTAACTACCCCCTACAAGAAGAACATTTTTCTGAAAGCAATCTACAATATTATATCCACAAAATATGTCACAACCACCCATAAAAACCTAGATTTTGTAGCGTTGCATATTGTTGGCGGAATATTCACAGCGCGGATGAGGGCAGTATGAGCTCATTGTAGACCTGAATGCCTCGTTACCAGCAGTGTGGTTGTCACGCAGCCCCGACCCAACTTTCCGACCCCATTTCGAACTCGAAAGGCTGGAACAGCTTTGTTTGGTAACCCGAGGCTCGGGGGTACGGAAACCGCGCTTGAGTGTGTAAGTCACTCCTTTCGCATTATGCGAAAATCTGTCCTGTTACTAGTGATGGGTTCTCGATCTGCACTTGCGACAAAGCATCACCCCTATTTCGCGTTATTTCGTCTCCTCTGAATCCTCGCCAAGCTTACCTGGTGTGGGTTGTTTGTCAGCTGGGAGCTTGGGGCGAGGCTCAACTCCGCCTCAAATTGAACAGACTAAATGTACCGCGCCCTGATTCGATTCAGCAGCAGAAGCCTGAAGTCGCTGGAAATTTTCTTAGATTTGTGTTTGGAACGCGTCACTCCAACACGCACCAGTCCGAATGGATAACGCGGGAGCCATTCCCGTTGGTAGCGATTTCTAACCAGTGGCAGCTACCACTCCCGTGTCTTCCCAATCGAGTGCTATGAAGGTTACTTGCATAATGCACTCCGATAACGCTGCTGCTGGTTTCATAGAATCCTCTCCTTGTCGCATGGTCCGTCTGACTGGAACGGGAAGCCACGGCGTTGCATCATTGGTTCGCGAACAAAAGTCCCTCGCATATGTTTCTTGCAACCCGTCGCTCGTATCGCGTTCTTAGATCCACATTGGCTCGTCCGCCGCGCGACTCTCTCTCTCTCTCGTTCCTCAAATAATTTCGGTTCAAGATTGTCTTGATGCACGCATTGTGTTCCTAGAGTTCGCAACCGAAACGAAGCCATGGCCCGGCGGCTGATACTACGCTTGGCTCCGAGCCGTGATTGTAACTCGCAACATAAATTACAGCTGATTCGAAGCCAGAAAACAAGCCTGCCATTCTTTCCTCTTTCTGATTCTACCATCCTTCCGCCAGTTCTGTCCTTGCACTATACTATCCTTGCATCGCACTATCCGTCAATCTACCCACCTCAGCTACACTCCGCACTCAATACAGCAGCAGACACCCCGTGCGACTCTACACCGCTTTGAACCGCGCTTCACAGCGCAAGCTCTCGTCTGTTGCGCCTCTTCCGCCTGCTCTCGCGCGGGACCCCCACAATCATGAAGTTGATGGGCTGCCCTGGCTCTGGGCTCCTGTTGCTCGCCCTCGCCCTCATTTGCGGTCAGTATTCTTCTCCGAGAAACAGTTAATATGCTCATCTGCAATCGATGAGAGAGTTCTTTATTGCTGCAAGGCTTGTGGGGTCAGGCCTTGCCTTGATCTGTGGGCTCTCGGATTCATGCCCTTTCTCCTTTTGAGGTGCCTCAAAAGAACAGGGAGTCTCCACTCTTGTCCTCCTGCTCGCTTCTGTTTCCCGCCTCCATTATACTTCCACACCTCCATTCTCCCACTCCTTGCTCTCTCATACCCGCTCTCTGATCTCTTCTTTGCATATTCTCTCCCTTGCACATTCTCCCGTCCTCTGCAGCAGTTCAGATGAGTCTATTTTTTAGGCGTTTAAGAAATAATCTGTTCTGTTCTCTGCACATCCTCTTCCTTGTCCCTTGCAGCAGCTCAGATGATAAATGCAGCGTATGGGGACGGCAGAGTTAAGAGCATGTCTCAGCCTCGCGGATCCGCACTGCGAAGCATGCTGAACGCCGTGTATGGAGAAGACAAGGCGGTGGAAGCAGCAAGCAGCAAAGTCAATGCGCGGATTGCGCTGGCCACCACTGGCAGCAGCACTGGCAGCAGCACCGCCAGCAGCACTGGCAGCAGCACCGCCAGCAGCACCGCCAGCAGCACCGCCAGCAGCACCGCCAGCAGCACCGCCAGCAGCACCGCCAGCAGCAGCACCACTGGGGTTCGCAAGCCGTTCATCTCCACAACGGTGGCGGTGGGAGGGGCGCGGCTGGGCTTCAACAAGCAGCGCTGCGTGAACGTGCCTGTGAAGGCGCAGCGGAAGAGCCGCGTGCAGGTGTGGTGGAGGGGCCGCGGTGCGGATAGCAGCAACGTGGATTGGACGGCTTTCTCGGGTGTTGATTGGTGCAGCGGCGTGCAGCTGTTTGGGAAACGCGGCTGCCAGGGCAAGGCGGTGGATGGCATGGTCAACCCGGGCAATGCGGACGTGTGAGTAGCGGGTGGGTGGTGTGTGAGTGTAGCGAGTGTTGGGTGGTGTGTGAGTGTTGGGTGATGGATGGTGTTTGGGAGACGCGGCTGCCAGGGCAAGGCGGGGGATGGCATGGTCAACCCTGGCAATGCGGACGTGTGAGTAGCGGGTGGGTGTTGTGAGTGCTGTGAGTGTTGGGTGGGTGTTGTGTGAGTGTTGTGAGTGGCGGGTGGTGTGTGGCAGTGATGCCGTGTGCGCCGCTGTGAGCTTGGGTTGGGTGGCCGCCCGCGGTGATTGGGGCACGACGAGCGAGAGGGCAAGAGCAGTGCATGGCTTTTGACGCGCCTCAAAAGTCGGTGATTGAGGCACGAGGAGCGAGAGGGCACCGAGAGGACGCGAGCAGTGCATGGCTTGGGTAGGGGGGAACAACGGAGGGAAAGGGGACATAAAACAATGTCCTGTGAGCGTTACGTGTGTGTGCTTCCACTTGCCATGCTCTTCAGGTTCCCACGCACGGGGAAGAACCGCAAGGGTGCTTCGGTGGCGAGTGTTTTCCTTTTAGACGCCTCAAATGGCGTGTGTGTGCTTCCACTTGCCACGCCCTTCAGGTTCCCACGCACAGAGGAGAATGTCGCAAGGGCGCTTCAGTGGCGTCTGTTCTCTTTTTGAGACGCCTCAAATAGAGTGTGTGGGCTTCCACTCGCCTCTCCCTCCATGAGTTTCCACTTGCCACGCCCTTCAGGTCCCCTAGCACGGAGAAGAAGATTCGCAAGGGCGCTTCAGTGGCGTCTGTTCTCTGCAACGTGGACTCCACTGGTACGTTCCTTGCTGACCCCCCTATAGAGGGACACCCCCTAAAAGGGTGTGATTCTGGAAAGTGTGATCCTAAAGAGTGTGATTTCAAAGGTTGTGATTTCGAGGGGTGTGATTCCGCAGGGTGTGATTCCGAAGGGTGTGATTCCGAAAGGCGTGATTCCGAAGGGTGTGGCAGCTGTGATGCTGCCACTGCTTGATTTCAAGCATCCGAGCTCCTGGCAAATTTTCAGTCCACGGCAATGCCCTCTTACCCCTGCCTACTTTATTCCGATGCCCTTATGTCCTTTGAAAGAACTACTATATTGATAAGAATTCCATTCCCATATCTTTTTTGTGTGTTGCGTCTTTCTGTCCGCCTCTCCTGCCGCAGATGTGACCTGTGACGCGTTGGGCTGTGTGCCTGGTGGCACATGCGAGGTGGATCGCAACGGAAATCATTTCTGCCTCTGGGGTGAGCCTCCTAGCCTCTGGGGTGAGCCTCCTAGCTCTTCTGTTCTCATCTCAACTCATGTATTCGTACATCAAACCCATGCCAACCCGTGGGGTGAATATGCAACGGCTTTCATGCGACCACATGCATCTCTCTCGCATCTCCCATGCGAACGACTTTCCTCTGCCTCACCCCGTGCCTCCCGCCCCTCTGGAACCTCGATCCCCCACAAGCAGTCGTACTCACGTACCGCACTGCACCCATGCCCACCCCTCAGACTCTCCCTGTGGCGATTGCCCCACTGGAGTCACCTGCAAGTCCTTCCCTTCAGCAACCCCCAGTGGGACGGTGTCGCTTCCTTAATTGTTGAGTCGACTCGGCTCACATGCCGCACTGCACCCATGCCCACCCCTCAGACTCTCCCTTTGGCGAGTGCCCCACTGGAGCCACCTGCAAGTCCTTCCCTTCAGCAACCGCCAGTGGGACGGTGTCGCTTAATTGTTGAGTCGACTCAAAATCGGCTCACATGCCGCACTGCACCCATGCCCACCCCTCAGACTCTCCCTGTGGCGAGTGCCCCACTGGAGCCACCTGCAAGTCCTTCCCTTCAGCAACCGCCAGTGGGACGGTGTCGCTTCCTTAATTGTTGAGTCGACTCAAAATCGGCTCACATGCCGCACTGCACCCATGCCCACCCCTCAGACTCTCCCTGTGGCGAGTGCCCCACTGGAGCCACCTGCAAGTCCTTCCCTTCAGCAACCGCCAGTGAGACGGTGGCGCTGCCTTACTGTGCTTGCCCTGAAGGCTCTGGGATCACCCCGACCGAGTGTGTTGCGGGTGAGACCACCTCACTCATGCGCACTCTGCTTACCCCATTCTCTCCGCTCCCTATTCTCTCCTCTGCCTACTCGCTCCATTCTCTCCTCTCTCTACGCTGCATTCTCCCCACTTCTTTCTCTCCCCGCTCTCTCCTCTCCCGACTCTCTCCTCTCCCCCACTCGTTCAACTCTTTGCTTCACCTTCCTCGCTCTGCCAACCTGCCTGAATGGCTGAATCTGATTGGAGGCATGAGGGAGGAGAGGAGGGTGACGGAGAACGGCAGGGCTTTAAGAGCTTGGCAGGACTCCAGACTCAGATTGCGCAGGGCTTTAAGCTGCCCGATATTTTCGGGCATGTGGGTCAGCAAGGGGAGCGACTTGAGTGTCAGTTGTTGGAGATTGGAGAGGCTAGTGAGGGACGCAGGAAGGGAGGTCATGGCAGGACACTCCTCTAGCAGCAGCACTTTCAGCTGCGCCAGATTGCCCACGGTTTCAGAGAGTGCAGAGAGGTTGGAGAGGGCGATGTGAAGATGCTGCAGAGAAGGAAAGAGATCCAATCTGGCAGGCACATCAGAATCAGAATCAAATCTTTCAGATTGGTGATTGTGGGTGGCTTGATCGTAGGCTGAGGACTGGGTCACAAGGGAAGGGGCAATAAGCTGCTGGAGAGATGGAAGGTCGTAGATGTTCAAGTGGGTGAGTTGGGCGAGGGAAAGAAGGGATTCTGGCAGGTACTGGGCTGACTGGAAGACGTTTGAGAGAATGATGGTTTTCATGGAAATCGGAAGGGAGATGGGCGCAACAAGAGGAGGGGAGGAGGGGGAGGTCGATGGTGGGGAGAGTGCAGACAGAAAAGTATTGCTCTGTGGGGTTGGGGACGTGGGGGGGGGCAAGGGGCTCGGGTGTGTGAGCTCTAGACTGGGGCAGTCTTCAAGAGCCAAGTGTTCCAGTCTAGGCAGCAGATGCAGGCCCTCTGGAAGGCTCTCCAGGCGCGGGCAGTCAGATATCTCCAGCTGCTCCAGCGATGGAAACGGGGGAGCAGGGGTGGCAGTTGCAGCAGCAACGACGGGAGGGGAGAGCAGGGACGGGAAGAGCCGCAGCTGAGGGCAATTCCTCACCTCGAGCACTCTAAGGCTGGACAGCCCCCCCATGCCTGGCGGCAACTCCTCCAGCATCTCACACCCCTCCAAAACGAGCTCTACCAGTCCTGTGAGGCGAACCAGGGACTGGGGAAGCATGTGGAGGGCGCACGCGCCTTCCAACTCATCTCCGTAATCTGATTCGCTGCCGGTCTCGAGCCTATTCCTGCTGTACGTTGCCTTTGTCCCGATCCTGAGCACTTCCAGGCTCGGCAGGTCCCCGAACCTGTCCGGCAGGCTCGCAAAGACGCAGTTGAAGAGATAGAGAGTGCGCAGCTTCGGGAGGGTTTCAAAACCTGGAGGGAGGTCTACTAGAGAAGCACCACCGTAAATGAAAAGGGTTTCCAAGGAGTTGAGATTGGTGAAGGAGTTTGGAAGCTCAAGCAGGCTGTTGCATTCCATGAATACTAATTCCTTCAGCTTCCCCAGCTGCCCAAACGAGTCGGGCAGAGTGACGAGCTTGCTACTGGACAGCTTCAGCGAAACCAGGTTTGAAAGCTGCCCGATGTCTCCGGGCAGCTCGTGAAGATCGCAGCCATCAAGAACGAGGCTTGTGAGTGACTCCATAGCGGAGACGGACTGTGGGAAGGCCGAAAGCTCACAGCAGTCAATCACATTCAGCTCCTTGAGTTGAGACAGAAGGCCGATAGAGTCCGGAATAACCCTGAAATTCCCAAACATTTCCAAACTCAGGTACTCTAGAGTGGAGATTCGGCCGAAATCTTCAGGCAGGGCCGTCATGCTTCCACAGTTGTTGAGGGTTAAGCTACGGAGGCTTTGACTCGAGCAAAGGGAGGCTGGGAGCTGCGAGAAATCCCAGTTTTGAAGGCGTAACTCCTGCAGAGCGGGCAGCTGCCCGAACGAGTCAGGAAACGAAGTGAAGGCGGATAGAGTCGAGACTTCTACCGCTTCCAGCCTTGACAGCTGATGGAAGTTTTCGGGCAGCTTCAAAAAGTCATAGCAGTACAGGAGCGAGAACCGCGTGAGGGCTGGTAGATCGCAAAAGGATTCGGGCAGCTCATGAAGACCTTCTACTAACGAGAGCGTGAGGCTTCTTAGGTTTCGCAGCTGCCCGAAATTCTCGGGTAGGTTGGACAAAGGGGATCTTTGAATCTCTAAGTGCTCCAGAGCCTTAAGATCGCAGATGGAATCGGGCAGAGCTTCAAGGGAATCTAGTTCAAACTCCAACCGCTTCAATCGCAACAAGCAGCCGAATTCCGTTGGTAACCCGGTAACGCTGTAGGTTGATCGCATGCTGAGCCTCGTGAGATGCTGTAGGCGGCTGATGGAAGGCGGCAGCGTGGGAACGCCGTCCGCTAGCCGTAGATCCAAACTGACCAATCGTGTGCAGGAATTGAAGATCTGGGAGACATCGGACGGCGAGATCGCCGCACGGCCGTTGCGCGCCGCGCTTCTGATTTCGTCTTCCTGCGCGCGAGTCGCCATCCGTCGATCGTACAGATGCATCGTGAGATGCGTCAAGGAGGACCCGCACCCGTCGCAGACGGATCGCACGAGGTGGCGATCGACGACGTCCGTCGCGAATTCGCCGAGGTGCAGATGGCGAAGGTTCGGGAATCCCGAGGTGGGTGAGGTGAGGAGCGAGCCGAGAGTTTGGGATGAGAAGAAGCGATCGTAAGGCACGACGATGGCGGGATGCACGGATCTGGCGACGAGCAGCCATCGCTTGCAGACCAGCGCGTGGCGAAAGGAAACGAGCGAAGAAGCGGTAACCACACGTGCATCGCGCGTGGTGCCAGCCCACGCATTCTCCGACGGCAGAGGCTCGTCCAATGCTTTGCCGATCGCGTCACGCAGAATGTCCTCCCTACTAGATTCACAATCGTGGCCGTCGAATCTGGTGGTTGTCGCAGACGCGGCGAGGAGAAGGATCGAGCCAAGCAGGTCGTCAGAGAACTGGGAGAAGGGATCACTGCACGTCATGTTGTGCCGTGCCAGTGATAATAGCACTTATCAAACCCTACTCGAACCCTGAAGACCAAACCTGAGCCACCTTGAAATTCTCTAGAAATGCACGAGGGGCGAGTGATGGTTGTGAAATGAAAATCGTCAGTGCGGCGTTGGTGTTGAGAGACGGGTCAGCAGTAGCGAGCGGTTCTAAGCGGTGAAGAGAGGGCACTGATGATAATGATAAAAGATTTCAAAAAACAGCGAATTTACCTAATCAACGCTTTTACACTGACTCCTGGGAGCCTGAAAAGGAGCATTACGAATTGGCAAGTATACAGAATACAACAGTCGTAACTGTGACGAAATGTCGTGTCAACTGCCTAGACCTTTAAATATATCTTAGCCTTTCGATATTTCAATATTTATATTTCCTGATCTTTCCCCAAAAACCCTTCATCTGAATCACATTCACTCTATCCACCAGCGATTGTGGCAGCTCCTTCAACTGCGTACACCCATCCAGATCCACCTCCCTCAGACAGCACAAACTGCCCAAGTCGCTGGGTAGGGCCCTCAGCGCCTTGCAATTTTGCACTGAGAGCTTGATGAGGGATGGGAGGGAGAATGGAGAAGGGAGAAACCGCAGCTTGGAAAGACGATTGAGCTTCAGAGAGGAAAGGCGGGTGAATGAGGAGAGTGAATCTGGAAGACAAGCGATTTTAGGACAATAAATGATGCTGAGCACTATAAGGGAGGAGATCAGGCTGCATGATTCAGGAAGGCTCTCCAGGGTTTTGCATGAATCTAAACCCAAATCATTGAGTGCCTTCAGCTGCCCGAGATTCTCGGGCAGGTGAGTCAGCAGAGGAAGAGACTTGAGACCAATCTGCTGCAGTTTGGGAAGGGTAGCCATGGAGGCAGGAAGCGATGTCATGGCATGGCACTTCTCTAGCAGCAGCACTGCCAGCTCTTTCAAATCGCCTAGGTTTTCCGGAAGTGAGGGGAGGTTGGTGTTGACAATGTGAAGGTGCACCAGAGCCGACAGGCACCCCAACCCAGCCTGCTCAATCGATCCAGTCATCCTGGGAAGCTCAGGCAGAGGGGTGTGAGGTATACCCTCCACTTCAGCTTCGGCATTGTCTGGGGTTTGGCTGAGGGCTGGGGGGGATATAAGGCACTTGAGGAATCGGAGGTCATATAGGTTCAAGTGACGAAGGCGATCAAGGGAAAGGAAAGATTCTGGGAGGTAGTGAGCTGACTTGAAGACATTTGAGATGATTACGGTCGCTACGGCTTGCGGAAGGGAGATAGGCGCTACTAGTGGGGGGGCCAAATTGGAGGAGGAGGGGAATGAAGAGACTGAGTTGGTGGTTGAGTTGGCGAGTTTTAGGCTAGTGCATTTTTCGAGCGTGAAATGCTTCAGCCTAGGCAGCAGATGGAGGCCTTCTGGAAGGTTCGTTAGCTTTGGGCAGGATGAGATAAGCAGCTCTTCAAGTAGTGGGAGCGGAGTGATGGTAGTGGAAAAGGAGAAGGTGTCAGCGCATGAGGTGGCAGCATACGAAGTGGCAGCAGCTGAAGTGGCAGCAGATGAGGTGGCAGCAACTGAAGTGGCAGCAAATGAGGTGGCAGCAGCTGAAGTGGTGGAAAATGAGGCAGAAGCAGCAACAGCAGTAGCAGCAGCAGCAGCAGCAGCAGCAGCAGCAGCAGCAGCAGCAGCAGCAGCAGCAGCAGCAGCAGCAGCAGCAGGAGCAGCAGAGGTGGCAGCAGGAGCAGACGATCCGGCACCTGCGGCACCATCCTCAGCAGAGGGCAAGAAGGACGGAAAGACCTTCAGCCGCTTGCACTTCTCCACTTTCAGGACCTTCAGGCTGCACAGATTGCCCATGCCGCTCGGCAGCTCCCCCAGCATCCCACACCCGTCTATGATCAGCTGTTCCAGGCGTGTGAGCAGGCTGAAGGAGGAGGGAAAGCCACGCAGGGAGCAGAATCCGTCCAGCTCAATGTCCTGGCCTTCGCTGGTGTATGTGTCGGTCGATTGCACTTTGAGGATCTCCAGGCTCGGCAGCTCCCCGAACCTATCGGGCAGATACGGCATGGCGCAGTTTAGCAGCTCTAGTGTACGGAGCTTCGGCAGAGTCTCGAAACCCAGAGGCAAGTCTATAAGCGAGGATCCACCATAGATGAGTAGGGTTTCTAATGAAGAGAGGTTGGTGAACGAGGCAGGGAGCTCGTATAGGTTGTAGCATTCACACATGATCAGCTCTTTCAGCTGCCCTAGCTGCCCGAACGAGTCAGGCAGGTGAGAAAGGCATGTAGAAAACAGCTTCACAGTGACCAAGTTTTGCAGCTGCCCGATGTCTCCGGGCAGGCCTGAAAAAGAGCAGCCGTCAAGAATGAGGCTTGTGAGCGCTGCCATGGCGGATACAGACTCAGGGAGATTCACGAGATAGGCGCACTCAAACACTCTCAACTCCTTCATTGCCATAAGGAACCCCAAGGAATGCGGAAGAGCCGTAAGCTTATCAAGAAACTTTAGACGAAGCTGCTGGAGAGCGCAAAACTGGCCGATAGATTCCGGCAGCGAGGATAGGCGTTTACAGTCGTGGATGGTGAGACTCCGGAGGGCGGGAGATCCCAAGGGTTGGCTGGCGGGCAGCCTGCCGAACGAATCGGGAAACGAAGTGAGAGCAGGCAGACCGTCTAGATGCAGCGTATCCAGGTCGGGCAGCTGGAAGAGATTTTCTGGTAGCATGGCGAATCGGCGGCAGTGGTCGAGAGAAAGGTGGGAGAGCGCCGGCAGTTGACAGATGGATTCCGGAAGAGCAATGAGGCGACGCAGATACGATAGGCTTAGGATCTTGATGTTACGAAGCTGGCCTAAATCGCTCGGGAGATGGCCTATTAAGCAGTTGCGAAGAGAGAGATGCTCCAGGGAGGTGAGACACTCGAACGAAATAGGCAGCTCGCGAAGTGACTGCGACACGATGAGCAACTGCTTCAGTCCCAACAAGCCGCACAGCTCCTCTGGTAACCCGGTAACGTTACTGAAGCTCATGCTGAGGCGCGTGAGCTGCTGTAAGCGGCTGATGGAAGCTGGGATCTCAGAAACACCTTTTCCGAATCTTAAATTCAGATTGACCAATCGCGTGCAGGAATTGAAGATCTCGGCGACGTCTGAGGCCGAGATCGGTGCAAGGCTGGTCGACTGATCCCTGCTCGGTATTGACTGATAGCTTGATATACTACTGGTTGTCACTCGTCGGCGATCGTACAGGTGCATTGTGAAATGGGTCAGCGACGAGCCGCTTCCGTCGCAGATTGATTGCACGAGGTGGCGATCTACGACGTCCGTCGCGAATTCGCCGAGGTGCAGATGGCGAAGGTTCGGGAATCCCGAGGTGGGTGAGACTAGGAGCGAGGCGAGAGTTCGTGCGGAGAAAAAGCGGTTTCGAGGCACGACGATGGCGGGATGCACGGATCTGGCGACGCGCAACCATCGCTTGCAGACCAGAGCGTGGTGGAAGGCGGTGAGCGACGAGGCCGTGGCGACAGGAGCCTCGGGTAACCCGAATAAGACGCTTTCGTTCGGCAGGTGCTCATTCAACGCTTGCTCGATCCTGTTTTGCAGGATGGGCTCGTTACTGGGACTGTCGTGGCTATCGAACTTGGTGCCCTTAGATGCGACGAGGAGAAGAATGGTTTCTAGCAGATCGTCAGAAATATTTGAAAAGGGATCACTAAGGGTGCTAATTCGTTGCCGGCGTTCTGGATGACCAGCGGCCCTTGGCTGCTGTGGCATTTCCCCTTGCGCTAGCTCGATAGTACCCATATCGCCGATGATTTAGCAGATGCCAAGTACTAAGCTCATAACAACACTGCAGTCAAAACGTGACAGTCCGCTCCAGAGTCTAAAATCTAGGTCGGTTCTTTGAGACAGCACGATTTCCTTTCTTGCTAGGGGTGTGGGATGGAACCTCGGTCCTCGCTGCAAGTCCATGCTTCGGATGGCGATGTCGAAGCACTGGGACTGGAGTTTCGATCAAATGTGCCTCATAGGGGTCAGACATATTTCCTTCGTTAACAGGGAGGTTCAGTCTGTTGCGGAATGGTCTCAAGCGGTGAAAACACCTGCTCTGCCTCAATCATGGTAGACAACACCAAACGAACACCTCAAAATGTACGAAGTTCTCCCGCTTTGCCACTCTTCCCAAAGAGAGAATTACTGTAGAACCATGTTTGGTGATTCCTTCTTACTCGCGTGGCCTCGAATTACTCGAGAGGCCATCAAAATTGGTGATAATTACTCGAGTGGCCACGCCAGGGGATTCCCGCACGCTTTTTTTGCCGGTGCATTACCCTAAGGGGGTTTGTAGCCCCGAGTTTTGGAATGATTATTGCGCGATTTTCATTATCCGAAATTTATGTTCGTGACATTATATGACCGCGCCTGATTGGATGCGCATTGCCAAAAAAGGCACCACGCATATAATTGACCAATCATGCGCGGTCACTAAATCCCGCGCATTGACGACCAGGCATTGCAGTTTATGATCGAGGAAATATATGATCGGGCATTAATATATGATTGGTCGATAATATGCGCGGTCATATAGGGTCACGAACATAAAATTCGGATATAAATGATCGCGCAATAACCAGACAAACATTCGGGGCTACAGACCCCCGTAGGGTAATGCGCCAGGAAAAAAAACACGTGCGGGAATTCCCTGGCGTGGCCACTCGAGTAATTATCACCAATTTCGGTGGCCACTCGAGTAATTCGAAGCCACGCGAGTAAAAAGGAATCACTAAACATGGCTCTACAGTAATTCTCTCCTTCCCAAACCATACCAGACCAAACCAGCCCCAAACCATACGAAGCCAGCCAGAACCAAAATTCCAAACCAGCCTGGTCGCCTCCGAACTTATGACGAGCCTAGTTTCCCGCCAAATTTCATTGCCATTTTCCCGCCATTCCAACTCTGGTGGTTGTCAAACAAAACCTGCTCAACCTGACGCTACCACTCTGGGGAATATCGATCTGGGGAATATCGATCTGGGCACCGTACTATAATCCCAGCATGATGCTCAACATGATGCTACCACTCACGAGCACCCAGCAGCAGCTCTCTGATTCACAACCAGCAGCAGCTCTCTGATTCACATCCAGCAGCAGCTCTCTGATTCACATCCAGCAGCAGCTCTCTGATTCACAACCAGCAGCAGCTCTCTGATTCACAACCAGCAGCAGCTCTCTGATTCACATCCAGCAGCAGCTCTCTGATTCACAACCAGCAGCAGCTCTCTGATTCACATCCAGCAGCAGCTCTCTGATTCACAACCAGCAGCAGCTCTCTGATTCACAACCAGCAGCAGCTCTCTGATTCACATCCAGCAGCAGCTCTCTGATTCACAAGCAGCAGCAACTCTCTAATTTACAAGCAGCAGCAAACTCTCTGATTCACAAGCAGCAGCAACTCTCTGATTCACAAGCAGCAGCAACTCTCACAAGCCCATACCTTACCAGTCTTCCATTAGATTCTTTCTCGTGTTGCCTACCTCTCAGCTAGCATCCGAGGAAAACATGACGCAAACACCAGCAGAAACATCTCAGCAGCCTTTTGCTCAGGCTGCAAACCAGCCGCTTGCAGCGACGCAGCAGAAAATGATTGGTGATATCTTTTCCCGCATTTCTGACGACCTGCTGGGGGTGATCCTTCGTTTTGTTGCGTCTAACGGGAATAGTCTCGACAGCAGTGATTCGCTCGCAAATGACGAGGACAATCTTCAAGAGAAAATTGAGGATGCATTGCACAAGCCGCCGCCATGCGAGAGCCAGTGGTTAGACACGACTAAGGTTCCTCCTTCCGATACTTGTTCATTAGTTACGTTCTGCCACGCTCTGGTCTGCAAGCGATGGCTGCGCGTCGCCAGCTCCGTGCATCCCGCCATCATCGTGCCTCGCAATCGCCTCTTCTCCGCACGAGCTTTCTCCTCACTCCTCGCTCCACCGAAATCTAGGTTCTTGAATCTTAGTCACCTACATCTCGGCAAGTTCGCGTTAGACTCCATTGATAGCAACCTCGTGCGATCCATTTGCACCGGATGCGGCTCGTCCCTGACGCATCTCACAATGTACGTGAACGATCGACGGTTCTCGAGATCCACGCAGCACGACCGTAGCAGAGACCATGAACAGTCGACCAGCCTCGCACCGTCCGATGTCGCCACCATCTTCGAATCCTGCTCGCGATTGGTCGATCTCCAGCTGGATGGCATTCCGGAGATTCCGCCTGCCATCAGCTGTTTGCAGCAGCTCACGAGGCTCAGCGTGAGGCTCAGCGAAGGCGTTACCGGGTTACCAGAGGAGTTCGGCAGGCTGGTAGGACTTAAGGTTTTGCGACTTTATACGGGGTTTTCGTTTCGTGAGTCACCTGATCCCATATGCTATCTCAGCTCCTTGGAGCGCCTCTCCTTTAGCGGCTCCGACATTTTTCATCTGCCAAGTGAATTGGGACAGCTCCAGAACTTGAAAAGCATCAGCCTTTCGTATCTTGAAGAAGTCGTTGAGCTGCCAGATTCAATCTGCGAGCTTTCAAGTCTTACGCGCCTTTCTCTCAGCCATTGCCCGCAGCTCACCAGGCTGCCCGAAAACCTTCACCAACTGCCCGATCTGGATACAGTGGAGCTGATTGGACTGATGGCATTGACATCATTACCTGAGAGTTTCGGCCAGCTGCCCGCTCTACAGGACTTATACCTTCAAACCTGCTCGCAACTGACGCAACTGCCAGGCTCCCTATCCGCCAGCCAGACTCTCCATCGCCTCGCAGTCGACAACTGCATTGACATGGTCTCTCTACCTGAAGACCTCGGCCAAATTGCTACTCTCCAGTACCTGCATCTCTACTCTCTCGATGAGCTCAACATTCTTCCGGATTCCCTCGTCCTCCTCTCTGGGCTGAAGGATCTGAGAATCGTTGACTGCTGGGAGTTGGAGGGTTTCCCGCAGTCTGTTTCCGCCATGGAGTCCCTGACTAGCCTGGTTCTCGACGGGTGTGCTGTCAGGGCGCTGCCCGAAGACATCGGGCAGCT